TTTTATGGACATGTTCGGACAGCGCCTTGGACCTTTCCTAGGCCAACGACGGTTATCACGTCCTGTTTTTGGACGTGATACGGTGCTTGGGACACTACACTCATGAGCGTAATGCCCGATCTTCTGACAGTGATGGCATCTTTCCAAGTGCTTGTGGCTCATAGAGCGAGATTTATCGCTCTCGACAGAGGCCGATACTAACACAGGTCCATCGGTTCGGGACCTCCGGTTTCCTGTCGTCTCGTCAGACGATAGTTTAACAAGTTAGCCTGAGACAGTCTCAGGATAACGTCATCTTGTTTCGCATACGCTATCGCCTTTTACAGCGTATAGAAGTCCCCTCGGAACATGAAGGTCTTTTTTAGTTCATCTACATGACCGTAGATGACGTTTATAAGCGTGTGCTCATTAACAGGGTTTTACGTAACGTTACTCGCAAGGTAGCGCAGGTGCTGCGCGTAAGCGTGCACGTCACGCTTACCTTACTTGAGCCTCAAGAGTGCAGAGCGTGCTCTAAACTCGGCTCTTGGCGGCTCAAACGCCTCTTTGAGCCGAGACTTTAAGGTCTATAACAACTTAACACGTTTGAGTCGTAAAGCTTAATCCCTAAGACCCAAGACTTAGCTCGTCCTGTCAAATTTGACAGGGCGAAGGTGACTTGCATCTTGTCACCCTCGATGTGACGGGCCCTTGTTGCGTCGTCTAACCCGACGAACCATCTCAAAAGGGAATCTTCATTGGTTCCCTTGTGCCTTAGGATCTCTATCTTCAAGGTTTTGGGTCGACGCGTGTACGTCGGCCCGCCCACCAACTGATGAGAGCCTTGCTGTTGTAGCTAGGCTATCTTCAGTCTTTCGACGGCAAGTTCCCCTTGTAGGAACTTGTTGATAGCAGTATGTTGCTGGTCTCTGCTTGGAGACTCCAACATACCACTGATGGCAGGTTCGCCCATGAGCGCACTCACGCAGCCGACTATCTTCCATTCTGAGTCACTCAGATGGGGGTAGCCTTCACGTGTGACGTGAAAGCTGTCATCTTCTACGTCCTTCATGTTTATGTTGGACGGACACTCAAGTAGTCGTTGGGCGGATTTTGAAGTGCTACCAGGTGTAACGGGGCACCCCAATATTTCACTTAAACAGGTCATTTGAGTAAAGGGTAAAAAGAGAACTGTATTCAATTTAGTTAAGCTATCAATGTAACTTCAGTATTTATCTAACTATATTAAATACGTCGTCGTATGACGACAACCAGCTCACCACTCATTGCGCGCGTCTAGCAGCGATTGGTGGTAACCTTGGTTAAAATGTCTTTATCAACTAATCTTTGAGCAGAGCATAAATATTATCCATCTCGGATAATATTGGTAGGGAATTGTCAGGCTAGACAATCTCCCTTTTGACACCGTTTAATGTCAATACCATGTGACGGGCTACCCCTTTACATCTACTGTCACTCACTATGGTTGCAATAATCGAGTGTGTGAACAGTGCCTGGTTTTTATCGTTCAACTATCAGCTAAAATCTCAAAATATCTATGTAACGGGGCACCCTGAAGCTTGTACTGGTAACAGTACAAGCTACTTATTCTGATGACAGAATAAGGCGGTGCCTCGGAACTTCACGTACACTGGTACGTGCAGAGGAAGACGGTAAGAAGAAGCGAGTACTTGGTTAGAGTAAAAAGTAGAACTGTGTTTAGCATAGTTAATGTCTGTTAATAAACCACTGTCTATCCTCATCTAACTATGTCTGAATACAAATGTGCATATCAACTATCTGCTCACCACTCATTGCGTGCGTCTGTCGTGGCGCGTCTTCGTTGGTTGATATAATGGCCTATATCAACCAATTAGGAACTACTCGTAAGTGCTGCATAATATTTGTCCTTTTGACAATATTCTGAGAATATGACTCTTATAGTTATATTCTATTAACAATTTCTTATAAATTGTAATGTAACGATTCACCCCGTTACGATCTAGGGGATGCGCTTTGTTTCAACTAAAAGTTCAACCAGAGATTCAATCAGAGGTCTACGAGAGGCTCAACCGATGTTTCGATTACCCCAAAAAATGCGCTTTAAGTGCCTGAGTGGTGGCAGCCGTACGGATGGACGAACACCTGAAGTACCATCCGCATTGGCCGTGAAGGCAATATAGATCCGTTCCTAAACAATAGGAAAGAAAACTGTTAATATACAACAAATTTCAAACTTTAATTTTTCCAGAAAAAAATAGCTCTGACCTTCTATTAGTTGAGATCCTCAATCTCCTTCTAAGCAATTGCCTTTTTTAATTTATGACAAAATGGCCTAAAAAGCTTAAATCACTTTTAGTATTGTACAACATCAGTCTAAATTATGATTACTTGAATCTCAAACATTAATTTCGTCCAATTGTAAACATGTTTACGCCGACAGCCGAAGCTCAGGCAATGCTGCATCCAAAGCTTCCTCATTTGAACCACTCTCGCCAAAAATTCTGATACAATGCAGCTTTTTTTGCTGTTGCTTGTGGTCGACTATCCACTGGAGAACTAAATGGTGTCCTCAGGTAGGCTAGGGCGTTCATAAAAAAGTCTTGATCTTGATGAATTCTGTGTTCAAGTAAATATCCTTGTCTGGTACAAAGGCACCCAAGTTTACAGGTCTTCCTCCGTTTTTTCAATATGAGCGAATGTCTGGCTTTTGGCGAACAGTTCGTTATCCGTATTACATTCTCGATCAGTGGGCTTCTTGATTACGAGAGCGATGGAATTCTGGGTAATCTGGACTCGGACCTTGCTTGAAGCCCAATTTGCCTTCATAATCTGGCTCATTCTAGGCCTTGTCTTATCAAATCTTGAGCTTTTGTGCATTGGTGACAGGACCCAGGACATGCTTGTATGAAATTTAGAGGGGGAAACCATTAACTTACTGATGTTTCCTTTTGCACAAGATGACCAGAAAATCGGAAGATCGGAAATTCACGCTACTCATAACCAACTCGGCTGATTTATAAACTTTGTCTTCACCAAGCCTCTGCGTTATCCGAGAAATGACTGCACATACCTAACAAAAGACTCGCACTTTATCCCCATTCCAATCCACAATCTCAACTTTACCATCACTTCAGAAATCCCGACCACCGCTAAACGACACAATCAAGCCAAAACCCACCCGTCCACCAGCCCCTTTCCACAGGATCCACCGCCTCAAATCTCTCCATCTCATTTTCCATTTCGTGTCCATTCCCGTCCAGACACCCGCAAAAACGATGCGAAGCGTCCATCTTGCGTCCGCCCTAGCGCTCGCAGTGCTGTCCACCGCAGCCTTCCCAGCTGAAGAGTCGACGCCAAGGTCCGTGCAGAATCACGCACTGCTATTGCTATTATGAACACCGCAACGAATCGGCTAACGTATGAAAGGAACCCACGTATCGATCTGCTACTGTTTGCAGCACCCTCCGTCGCCTCGTCACGCTCTCTCGCCACGGCAGTCGCGCGCCAAACGACGTCGTCAAAGTCACGTGTCCACGTAACAAGGCCAACCTGGAGGCGTACAAGGTGCCGCTCACGCAACTTACGGAGATTGGCATGAAGCAGCTGCAGGCCGTGGGTGAACACGTTCGCCACACGTACATGGCAGACGAGCCATCGCACCACGAGGCGTTCCTTTCACGCTCGCTCAATGGTGTAAACCACTCGCACTTTGAGACGTACTTTCGGGCCGACGCTGCAACGCGTTGCTCGCAGAGTGCGACGGCAGTGGGGTACGGACTCTATCCTGATGGTACTGGTCCACTGGGCTTCCCTCATCAACCTGTGCCAATCACTATGCAGCTGTTGGAGAACGAACATGCCTTTGCAGCCCCTAAGGGACCGTGTAAGACCACGGAAGAGGCAGATCTTGCAGTATATGCTCGAACGCGAGCACCTGAGCTATTTGACAAGTACCGTGATGTGCTCCAGCAGCTGGGCCAAGTCTGTGGAGTAGAGGTTGAGGATATCCCTAATGTTCCGGGTGGTGAAGACGTTGTGCTGGGTGTCAAGGACTTGGCCGATATGTTCGCCTTTGATCGCGATGAGGGGCTGCCACTTACTGAAGGGATGACGATCGAAGCGCGTCAAAAGTTGGAGCAATTGGCCTTCACGAATCTTATGGAAAGGTACTACTCGACGGACCGTAAAATCACGTATTGGGTGGGTGGGTTTGGTGATCTGCTGCTCAACACGCTTGAAGGCGGAGCTGTGCCGACGGCGCCATCGAATTCGGAGTACCGTTACTATTCGTACCATGGCCATCGTGAGCTTTTGCACGGTCTGGGCATGATGCTGGGTTGGCAGTTTCACTTTGAGGGACTACCGGAAGCTCTCAATGTGACGGCTATTCACCCGGGAACGTCCATGTTCTTTGAGTTGCGTGCACGTCAACTGACCGCCAAAGAGACGCAACAGCAGCCGGACGCGAACGAATTCTATTTTGTGCGAATGTACATGTGGTCGCCGTACACTGAGCGCGCGCAGATCAAGCTCACGAAATGCTCAGTTGCCGATTGCCCGTTGGACGAGTTTAAAGCGATTATTGTCAACCACATCGCCAAGACCGGTACCTGGGAAACTATCTGCAACTACCAAAAGCCGGCGTTGCGCTATGGCAAGCCAGTGCTTGCTCAGGAGCCTACCGTGAAGGGTAATCATGGCTTCACAGGCTCTACCTTCCTGGCTGCGATCGGTATTTTCCTAGTGATGGGGCTGGCGGTCATGGCTGTCAAAATCTACACTGCGCGCCGCCGCGGGTATACTATGATCTAAGCTTGTGGTTGAGTGCTGCTACGACAATTGATTGCGAACAACAAAGTATAGAGAACGTCGTCGGTGTGATGGCTTGACGATAGATCTACTAACCAGATTTTTCAACAACGCTTACAGCAAGCTCTGCACTACATTCTCCATTGTCTGTGAAAGCCCCTGCTACCGATACTTGCTAGTTACGCGCTGGACGGACTGCGTGGAAAACGTTAGTGATGCAAGCGTAATTCTTGGAGTTTTGCGACCAGAAGATCAACACTTGCCAGCTCCTTTGCTTTGCCTTGAATGATGCCGTTCTTACCACCACCACCCTTTCCGTCGATGAGTGGCAGCACAGACCGTCCATGAGCAGCAATGAACTCAGGAGGACCAGTGATTAGAAAGAGGCCATCCCCACGCCGCTCGCCGGCCGTGAGAACGAATACCGCATCACGCTTCGTAGCATCCAAGAGTCCCGACAATGTATGCAAGAAGGCGAGATCACCCTCATCACGATGAAAAGTGACGACGCCTTCAGTCAATCGCGACACCAGATCAGTTGCGACGAAGATTGCAATCTCTTGCTGTAGATGTTTCAGCTCTTTCGTTGCTCGCTTATGGAACTGCAACAACTTCTTTGTTCGAGATGCGTGATCTTCGGGAGCACTACTCAACAGCTTTGTCATCGCTTGCTCATTTTTCAGCCTACATATTGATGCAGACAAGAAGAGAATCACAAAGATTTAGCAAGGCGCAACGAGGTCATCTCACGCAAAGCTCTGCACTCACATCCTAGAAAACTCGAGGTTGACGCGGCCGCCAGCTACGAACCAGACGCGAGTAGCCCCGCGTGCAAACTCAGTACTAAGGATATGCAGCGATCGCAGATGGGCAAGACTTTGGACGTGTGTGCCGCAGCACGGGTTTGCGTCTAGGCCGTCAATAGTCACAATGCGCATAGCCTTGGGCATCTCTTTCGACTCGAACTTTGCAGCAATCTTTTCCCACTCGTTTGTCCCAGGTTTGGCAAATGAAGGCGTCATGGCCAAGCCTGCTACGATCGCTTCATTCACGTCACTCTCGATTCTCTGTAGCACCTCATCAGGTATCACACCTTTTGCCGTGTCAGCTCCTCCATCAGTATCCGCGATATCTCTATACACGAGCTCTACGTTGCATCGTTCTTCGCCAAGCGACCACGTCGTGGTATCGTACCCATACTTCTCTGCAATTGCACTAAGTAGATGCTGGGCCGAGTGCTGCTGCATGTGGTCAAAGCGGCGAGGCCAGTCGACAGTAACTGTCACCTCCTGGTCTTTCACAAACGGTGCCTGGTCTTCATCGTCCACAGGAACTCGGTGCAAACAGCGACCGTCCTTCACGTACACCTGATCCACCTTCACGCCATCGATCTTGCCGGTATCCCAAGGTTGTCCTCCTCCTTCGGGGAAGAGCACTGTGTAGAGCATAAAGTAAACAAGAGTGTAGTCAGCAACTAGAAGCCCTGGAAGAACGTAGTCAGACCTCACGCACCTGTGTCGTGCAGCTCAAGCTCGTAGAAGTGCTGGGACGTGGTCTTCTTCGTGGCTGGGACCACACGCTTATGACAAGCATGGACTGAAGTGCGCAGCGACCGTAGTGATGAGTCACGCTGACACGCGAGAGCCCCTGGTGGCGCAGGTGTCAGGGCCATGCCAGAGCGGATCTCTAAACTGCTGCGGTCGTCACGGTGCGGATAAAATCAAAGGCGAAACGAACGGTATGAGGAGTGTAGCCATTGGCCACAGTGTAGCCATGAGGGTAAAACCCGTTCGTCACACGTGTTTTCACTCGACTAAAGCCATAGCTGTCGCCTCGCCTCGACAGTGACAAGAGGACGAACAGGATAGACAGCTGAATGGGTGGGTGGCTTTGCACAGAGATATGTAAAAGAAAGCCGTGGAAGGAAGCATCGGACGTTAATGGCATGTTTTCTGGCTGATACAACGAGCAGCTTGTCGATGTCACGCCGCGTCGCTACTTCTTGTCCTAAGAAATGGGCTTGCAACTCAGCAGAATGCAACGTGACTCTGTTTTGTGCTATTCATGAGGAGGAGCAGCCTGCAGCGTACCGGCAAACACCGATTTAGACTTGGCTACAGCAACTAGTTTACGCCTCATCAAGTCCAAAAAGGGTAACAGACGAGCAACCTGTCAACTCACCATGTGCCATCCAGGCAGAGATCAGACAGCATTCTTGTCGGAATACGGCCCATGCGCGGCGATTGCGAAGCGGTGCGGCGCATCTTTTGGTACTGCCACTACGCACAAGCTCTGTGGGGCAATGAGTGGTACCGGAAAACGGAGATGGGCTACGTATCAACGAACGAAGCGCTTTCCGGCTGCTTGTGCTAGTTGGCGGGATCCTGTTAAATTGCCGGATCGGCATGTAGTTAACGAGGGCAGGTTCCAGGATGATGAATCCGCGGCTGAGTGAGCGTGTAGGTGATGTAGTACATCAGCACAATGGTGTACCTCACCCGTCTGTGGATGAACAGGTATACGATGAGTTTATCACGGATCAAGTCAACTAAGACAAAGCGAACATGGGGAGGCCAAAACAGCCATTCGGGAAGCGACTCTCGGTGCTTGCACTAAATTGCTCATCAAAACAAGAGGGATCTGTCTCGGTCAGGGGGTCGGACACGGAATCCACTGGGAACACCGGTGCTCATATCATGGCTCAAGGCTATCCAGAGATCTTGCACATAGTAACAACATGTAAGTAGACGATTCGGACTTCTCCAACATTCACGGTCCGGGATAGCAATCAAGAAAATGCCGAGTATGAGACAGATCAGTGATCAAAGTATCGACATGTGAAGACTTTGTGAGCAGCGCTGTAACTGTAAGCTTAGTCGCGATCCCATACAAGGTATCGAACGACCATCACAACATCCTGGATCTATTCACAATGCGCACATTTCGCTGAGATTGTGCTACATTGTATAGTTTAGCGCTTATAGCTAATGATGCGTTCATTGGCCTTGCGAAGCAATGGCTCTCGCGAGCCTTGATCCGCTCCTAGGTAAATGTGCGTTATTCACACCACGAATGCTCCAAGTGCTTCTCCTAGAGACTATAAATCCTCCTAGTGAAGGTTGGGAAAGGTTAAGTAAGCTCCACATGTTCGTCCTCGCTTGTTACCTGAAGCTCTAAACGTGTTTCAAACGAAAGCCAATGCTCGAAGAAGCTTCACGGATATCCCACGCTTACGAATAGATGCATACTAGTACAGATTACGATCACAGTTACAGGTCATGTTGAAGTACCGTTACAAAAGACAAGACTAAAATGTTGAAGTACCGTTACAAAAGACAAGGCTAAAATGTTCGCTTTTACTGAACCAAGTCAAGCCCAGACGAGCTTTGGAGCCGCGTTATTGTTACTTCAGCGGTACCAATGGGAGTATCAAAACGCCGGCAGCAGCACGCGGCGCTCGTTGCGCAGCTTGTGGCTGTCAAGGAAAAGCAGCAGCTACTCCATGAGGAATCTCTCGCATTTGCGATGGACCCTATAGCCCCCGAGAAGGCAGCCGCCCAGCGCTCCCTGCGTTCGTTGTGTCACTTGACCCCTGAAGTAACGGTACTATGTGCACAGACTGGCGCGGTCGTCGAACGTGTTGCGAACGCGAATGACGTTGCAGAGAAGATGACGCGCGATGTGCGACGTCTGGACGTGATCCAGTCGCGCTTGAGCGTGGTATTGGAGCAGTCGGCGCAGCTCCTGACGCTGCGCAACGCGTTAGCAGGCGTTCGACGTGCCATGCAGCAGCAGAGGTACCCGGAAGCTGCTACTTTCTTACAGACACTTAAGAGCATCGAGCAGCAAACGGTGCTGGACGTGGCTGATAAATTACGTGTTGACACTATGGAGAGCGATCTCAAAGGAGTTATTGAAAACGCATTTGACGATGGGCTGCGGACTGGAGACAACCGCAAGGTGCAGACATACGCGCCGCTGTTTAAAGTGGTGGGGAAAGACTACGAAGAACGTGGACTGGTGATGCTGTTGGAGCACGTGCAAAAGTCACTGGACGAGTCCATGAAGCGAGATGGCGATGTCTGTGTGGATGGCTTTAGTACACAGGAAGTACTTACTCGCCTTGCCGAGGTGTTCAATCGAGTGGCACAGGAAGTACAGCTGCATGCGACGTTGCTGTCCCAGTGTTTTGATCGAGTGCACGGTCCGAATCGCTTTGTAGTGAAGCTGTACACTTTGAGCGAGCAATCGGCTGTTGCGCTGTTAAACACATTCATGGCGCAGCGCAAATTCCACGAACGCATCACGAATGGAGGGCAGCTAGGATCACTGACTTCGGCTGTTCCTGACAGTCACGGAGTCCAAGCTGGACTAGGCGACATTAAGGATGATGGTGTAGCCGTGATGAACGAACAGCTGAATGAAATGGCACTAGTGATCCAGCACACGCAAACTTATGAGCGTTTTATGCGCTCGCAGGTGGTTCTCGAAGTCAAAGGAGGGAAAACTCATGGTGAAGCGGATGTTGGACAGGATGAGCTAATGAGTGCAGCTGATGCCGAAAACGTCCCCGTATTGCCTTCAGTCCAAGAAAGTGAGCTAGGGAAAACAGTCCAGGAGCTAGCAGGATTCTATTGTTTCTTTGAGAACGCGCTACTGAACGAAGCTGCTCAGAAAGCTTTTCAATGGGAAGAGCTTCGTTTCTCATCCGGAGACGATGGATCTCGTGGTGCTGAAAGCGATGATGCACTATCCTGCTTCCCGATTTCATCATCCATTGACGAAATCTTTTACGTAGCACGTAACTCTGGGTTGCGCGCCTTGGCGACAGGCCACGTCGACAGCGCGGCTGGAGTTCTCAACATGATCAATACGGTACTACGTGACGTTGTGGGAGATACGATGCGTAGCCGCATCCGGCACATGACGACGAACGCAAAGATGGACGTAACCGATGGAGACGCGGCTAGTTTGTTAGCTTCTTCTTCGGCGCAGTTGCGCGGTCAGATGCAGCAGCAATTTGCCAAACTTAGCAAGACCGTTGGGCCCGTCGGCGGTGCCCATAATGGCGGTGAGATGACTGGTGAAACATCAGAGCAGCGTAAGGAACACGCACCCCATGTCGTACTCAACAGTTTGGAGGTAACTTCCGGATACATCGCACAATTGAAGAGCGAGTTCCAACACGAGCTGCCTGAAGCCTTCCCCGAAGTACCGCAACACGTTATGACTTGCCTGAATGCACTCGAAGATGCGTCAGCCGAACTTCGACAGCTACTCGTAGCGTCACGAAAGAAGCTTATGAAGCTTCTGGAACCCAAGATCGCTGCATTCCTCAGCGGTTTGCTATCGCCATCTTTGTCGGCATCTTCCGCAGCCTCGGCTTTGGCGGTATCTGCTACAACTCTGTCTTCGGTACAAAGACGCCACGGCGTACAGTACGAGCTAACAGAAGCAATGTTTACAGTCAACGAGGCAAATGATCCGTTTGCACATATGCTTGTGCGCGGGCTGCACTCGCTCCTTGCCAGCTTTCAAGGAAATTTGTCGCGGAGCAATTACCGTGCTCTTGTGCAGATGATGGCCCAATACACTGCGACCCAGCTCGAATCTTGGTTCGTCAGTCGAGTGACTCGCGTAAACCAGCTCGGTGCGTTGCAGTTTGATAAAGATGTGCGTGTCATCAGTACGTTTTTTAGCGGTGAAGGTGGCGCCAGCGACGACGTACGTGAGGTGTTCGCCGCTTTGACTCAGTTCTCTGAGGTGCTGAACGTGGACAGTCCCCAGGACGTGCTGGATGTGTATGGGCGGCGATGCCGCGGCGTGGCTTGGAAGCTACCGGCTGATCAGGTGAAGGAGATGCTATCGCGTCGCGTGGAGTTTGCCGATGCAGATGTCAATCGGCTGGTCCTGATATAAGCCACCCGCCGCCGACATGGGCATTAGGGCGTATAACGAGATCCGATAGTACGAGGATCACCTACGATCGGTCCCTGTGCTAGCTGCAAACGCATTTCTCCACATACGCAGCTATTCTGCAGTACTTCAGTCGCCTATGCAGCCTCCGGTGACGATCTGACGCCAGACGCCGAACAGCGAGCAGTGCAGGCACACCGCCAAGAATGTCGGTGTCCGCACGTCCAATCTTCCATAGTAAATGGTGTGTCTGACGGCACCGGACACCAACCGCTTCGTCTTATACATGCACGCACTTTTCATCCAACGAGTCCTCTTCCCGTCATTAAGCAACGCGGAGCTGCTCCACATCCTCTCGATCGCAGCAAAATGGTCTTGACGAGCACCGCACCGGCCGTTACAAACCGTTTCCTGTCGTTTCTAAGCCTGCAAAACACAGCAAAGGCGCGTGCGTGACTGCATGCAAAAGAATCCTGACAGCACGATGTGACTGTCACTCCCGCGGCAAATCTGCGAATGGCGGGAAAGGAGCCGTCGCACCCGCGAGTTTATAAATTACCACGTAATTTTCACAACTCAGCGCTTCGGTCCGTGACCATTCGTTTCTAAACATCGACCATTTCTAACGCGCGCTCCGGGACCAGCCAAGAAAAAAAAAGCAGGTACAAGACATGCGGCAGCACTCTCTGTACGCGTCGATGCAATGCGTCGTCCACCCTACAGAGCTCGAGGCGGTCGAGCTGGTCGCACTTGAGTCGTGTCTCCGGGACGGAGGTGCCACGCTGCTGACTGACGCCAGCGCTGCTACCGGCAGCGCCGTGACACATATCGTTTGCCATCCAAAGTCCTATGAGACGTTTGTGGAGCAGCGGAACGAGCGCTTTGTGGCTCTGGTGCGGCCCGAGTGGGTCTTCCGGACGTTCTTGCTACAGCAGCTGCTCCCGTGGACCGCTTTAGCCCGAACCCGGCGCTCATCTTCTCCACGCTCGCGATTTCAGCTGGAACAATGGAGAAAGACCCGCGGAAGGTCATGAATGGACTCATTTCGCATTATGGCGGGCAGATTGTTGACCACAACGACGTCGCTCGAGGAGCGACGCATATTTTGTATCGAGACGAGAGCAGTGACGATGCTGCGATGGTGGAACCTGAAGCAGAGCAGGAGGGAGACGAGAAACTACTCCAGGTTCACTTTTCGAAAACTGATCTAGGTCGGAGTGTTGACGCCTGGCGTCAGCATTTGTCGTCGCAGTCACTAGACTCGACGTTCTCGCTGCCTAGTTGTGTTGTTGCCTACATGGGACAACATGCTGGACTGTCCAAGCAACATCATGTCAAGTATACGTGGATTGAAGATTGTGTGATGCGACAGAGTCGCGTGCTAGAAGGTCCTTTTGATCATAGACCTACTGGATCTTCTGCTGTAAATGTGGACAAGAAGAAGCGCAACTGGAAGACGCAGCCGAAAGTGCAGCTAGATGATCTGAATTTTGGTAAGTATGCACAGGTGTATCAGCATGGGAAGACGGAACTCGGCACAGAACTCTCAGTCGTTCGCAAGCTATCTAATGAGGTGGGAAATTGCAGTAAACTCATTGGGCACTCCTACTGGTGGGTACTCGTGTTATTATTGACAGAATTTTTTGCTGTTTGTAGAAACTGAAGGCGATGAAGAAAACGTTACAAGGCGCGATTGTACTCCTCGCGCAGCATATAGCTCCACTGCTACGACAAAAGCTGTCGGACATGTTGAAGACAGTGGACGCCAAGGTAGCAAATGTCCCGTTGGGTGACTCGTATCAGGAAATCGTAGGCAAAGTAGTCATGAACGCGTCGTTTATCGTTTGTCGATACCGTGGCGGATTTGAGTACAATGAAGCCGTGCGTCAAGACAAGAAAGTGGTGAGCGTGTATTGGGTTCTTGCAGGACTTGTGCAAGTGCGGAAGCCTACTTCGTTCAATGAGGCGATTCAGCGGCCAGTTCGCTCATTTGGTGGTATTCCCGGAATGCATTCTCAAGTTATCACTTTATCAGGGTACTCGAGTCAGTCCAGCCCAACACGCGAAGAATTGCAGATTGCTATCCACGCCACCGGTGCATGCTTACTTCCGGTGCTTTCCCGGACGCATTCGACGCACCTCCTATGCCACGATGCCACCGGGGAGAAGTATAAGAGAGCGCTGAGCTGGAGATTCGACAATGTCTTGAGCCACAAGGTATCCGTGCACCTTTTGTAGTTTGCCTTCGGTAGATGGATGTTGACTCTGTCGATGTGTTTACAGTGGGTTTTCGCATGCTTGTCAAAGTGGGAGCATGTTGCCGAAGATGCGTTCCGGTACAACGTCAACAAGGAGCTGTCTGGAGATACGGTCGGTACGGCATTAGATGGCGGTCCGAAGAAGAAGCCTGGCAGAAATAATAAAGTCGACGAGGCAGCACTGATCGAAACGACCGTAGGAACTACGCCTGTCGCCAGAAGTGCAAAAAAGGCGAAGAAGGCTGGTCAAGGGCGCTTTGATGTTGACGGCATTCTCACGGAGATCGACAAGGTGCCTACTCCTAGTGACAAGACGATCCCAGCTAGCAGCACGGTGACGACACCGGCGACAACCTCCAATCTGTCGAGCTCGACGCCCGGCCATTCGAAAGACGTAGCTTGCACGTTGTTCGATACACCAACAGACACAAACACTTCTCCAAAGAACAAGCGAAAATCTCGACATAAACGGTCTGACCAAGTGTTCACAAGTATGGGAGTCTCGGAAAGAGAACGTGGTGAGAAGGCTGTGGGAACTGGTGTCAAAGTCGAAGCTGCGAAGAAGTCACCGTTTGGTATCAGCACTCTGGAGACAGCGAGCACCGTTGCAGCTGATCAGGACACAGCGACAGCAATACAAGTGTCTGCAAAGAAACTCAAAACAACGAAGCGCAAGGGTGATGACGACCCGGATGGATTGGATACATTGAACAAGAGCACTGTAAAGAAGCAGAAAAAAGAGGTTGTCAGTGCTACAGTATCGGCTGGATCCTTGGCTTCAAGAAGTAGGCGTGTATTCCTCTTGACGGGCGATCGAGACCAGGCAACGATGCACACCGCGATAATCACTTCATTGGGTGCAACCGTTGGTGAGTTTGGTCGCGTATTCGACAACAACTGTACGCACATTATTTGCAGCGAACTTAAGCGGACGGAAAAGTTCATTGCTGGATGCGCAGCTGGCAAGGTGAGCGCTGAGATGGGAGTGTTTTTGGGTTTGCTGTGCCTCGTTCTAACAACAATTCTTGCTTGTACACGTTGTCGATTGCAGTGGATTGTCAAGCCATCGTATCTGGATGCTAGCGCAAAAGCCAAAGAGTTTGTTGATGAGACTGTACACGAGTGGGGGAGCCACAAATCTGACAGTAAGGATATCGATACGCGAATATGGCCAGGAGCGTGCGGGTACTGGCGCAAGAAGCGTGCAAGTGGACATCCCGGAGCATTTGCTGGTTGGCGTTTCTTTATTCACGCGAAATGCACTCCTCCGCGGGATATGTGTGAGCGGATCGTTCTCGCTGGAAACGGCTCGGTGATCCCGCTTAGCAAATCTGCCGCTGACTTTGACCGTCTAGCGAAGGAGTCGACCGCCGACGCACCTGTCGTAGCTCTCTTTTCACCCGAAGTGCCAACCCGAGACCTGTGGCTGAAGAAGCTCAAGACACACAACATTGATTGTCTGAAGGCAAACTTTCTCATTGACTACATTTCAAAGAAGCAAACACTGCCTGTCAAGCGTGCAGACTACAGGCTGTAGGGTCTTGACCCCACGCTGTATGCAGCACCACTGAATACAAGACTCAGGCGTCCATTTCAATGAGATCGGCCTCGTTCTTGTACATCTGATGACAACACACACACACACATGCAAACAGTACTTAGCAGCGTGTTTCCACGACATCAAAAGCGTCGCAGCCAAACGTGGAAAACAAAGCCAATGCTCACACTGCCAAAGCGTTCGTAGCCACCATGGAGGATGAGCACGCGGGGTTTGTGCGCAGCGCCTTCTAGCACAACCTCCATTCGAGCCTTGAACCTCTTGGCACACGACGGTCCTCGCACTTGGCTCATCATGCAGTGGAATACAACAGCGTCCTCGTCCTTGTACTTGGCCACAAGAGCATCCACGTCGTCGTCGTCCATGAAACTGTCCTCGGGAATGTTCACCGCCGAGCGAATGTGGCCTCCAACGTAGTCCGTATCGCGCACATCGATAATGACCGGTCGTTTATTAGCCGCGTCAGGGTTACGCAGGATCTCCACCAGTGCCGACGGCTGAATGTAACTCGGCGGTTCCATGTACCCGACTGGAAATGACATGATGAGGGACTGAGTGGGTCCGCCGGAATAAACAAAAATGTCGCTTACATGTCGTAGTAGCAGCTGTTTCGCAGGGAACAAAGATCGGACAACGTGATCGTTCCAGCAGTAAGGTTTGCCACACTAACTTTGGGTTTGGCCTTTTTTTTCAACAGTAGGTTCGCTCTGTCAATTCACTTGTCCGCAGCAGGTTTGATGACGTACGCCCGAAATGCTTCGAGCGCCTTGTATCGGTGCGAGATCTGGTTCTTGGTAAGCTTGTCCATCTCAGCGTACGTCTTGTCAAACCCATCAGGCTGAAACACTGGGTCCCATCCAAATGTGGTGGGACCACGAGCAGGCACGATCGTGCCGGGAGTCTGACCAATGAACACTTGCGGCTCAGAGCCCGCCGACGCATAGGCGAAAATGCACTGGGCGTACGCAGACTTGTCCTCGTAAGCAGCCAGCATGTTGTTCAGTCCATCGTGACCCGTTTTCTCGAGGAACCACTTGATGTAAGGCCCTGGTAGTCCCTTGAGCGCATTGAAACAGAGCGACGTGTCCTCTACCAATACAGCACCCTGCACCTGCTTGGTCGCAAGACGGCACTTTTCCTTGGCAATTTCAGCTGGCTCGCCTTGCAGTTCGGGCAGATCTACAGCCTGGTTACGCAGCTCAAATGGAAAGTCATTGCCCAGGATAGCGACGACCTCCTTGAGCTTGTTACTGTTGCCAGTCACGAACGTCAGCACGGGTTTGCGACTCGACATGGCGATGTCCATAGGTTGTCAAAAATGATCAAGCTCCTGTATCATCGAGCTTGATGGTGTCCTGAATGTTGCATGACATGTGGCACACACCAATCAATCCTCATTCGACCCATGGATCTTCAAGCGACGCCATCTCTCCGTCCTGAGATCACGTTGGGCACATCGCGTGGTCGTGATGAGAACGGACTCCACTGGACGAGCGCGGAAGGTCATGTCCGACTGTATCCTGCGACTGTATGCGACGTGAAGGATGCGGCTGGTGGATGCCTGACGAGTTTGTTGCCAGATCAGGCACTTTCGATTCTGAGCATTTCAAAAAAGAGGAAGTTGTGCTCGAGTGTATCTACGTGTGAGCAGTTTGCATTCCGGTGCTCGAAATGCCTTATGAAGCAGACCATTCGGTTACGCTTTTCAGAAGGGAGCTGTGGATGTTGAAAGGGTGCTTACGTGCAGGGTGAGTCAAGTCGAAACGGATGTCCAAGACAATCCAGAGCTTTTATCTCGATGAGACGCAGAAAAGTAAATCACTCATGCGTCGGATCGCAGCGGCGACTTCGAGTCAGTAACGTGACGGGCGCGTGGCGTACACAAACATGTGCTCTCGTTATGTGTGACAGCGGGTCATCGCGTGCAGAATAGGACTGCTGCTCAGCTGTTGGAGAGACTCTTGCCCGTTTCACAGCGACGGTGTCGTCCCGGCACCACAGTCATCAGCCGTCGATACGTGCAACTAGAAGCAGCACGAGGCTACAGAGTTATCCCAGCGCCGATCACAATCGACGAGGTTGCAGACTCGACGGGTAAGAGTAGAGCACAGCAGGAACAAGGTTGCGCATTGGCACTAATACGAACTGTGGGGTGCGTTTCTTGGTCATGAAGCTTGCACAAACTCCGAGCTTGACGGATCACAATTCTGATGAGACATCAAGATTCCCCGGCCGAGATCGTGTACGTGCGAGGTGCACATGTGCGGCCGCTATCTTAGACCGATAGCCATCGCTCTACCGCTTCGGTTTCGTCACCCCTGAACAAGCACGTCGCGTCACCAACTAATGCCATTACACGACACTCCACGTCGTTATGACACCTTCGTGTCGCCAAGTTTGCCGCATTTGCCTGCCATATGGGTCTTTGTCTCGAAAAGGTCGATGGTTCCTTCCGTCTCGCTACCCACCATAGTTTGACTTCGGAAACAGTGTCCATTGTCATAAACACCGATTGTCAATGCGTCCGCCTTGCTCGATACCATGCAAGCCCCGAATGCAGCACATTCACCCCCCAGCCGTCTCGCTCGACACTCACCTAGATTAGTCAGTATGCACGAAGAAGTACACCCACCAGCCGCTCCGGGTGCGTCATGGCAGTGAGCAACATCACCCTTGCGCTATTCCACTTTGTGAAGACTTGAGAAAGAACACCAATGCCTCGCTCTGTTCCACAAGTCTTGCGTGAGGGCACACGGCGCACCAGGAGGTCACAATTGTGTCCTTTACAGTATCGGTTACCCCAACTGACGAGGCTGGAAAGCAAGGGACTCACGCCACTCAGCATCCTCGTCGTCATCATCTACGATGTCGAGTGTCTTCTTGCGTTTACCATTCGACCGTTGCACCGAATAATTTTCCAAACTTGTAGCTGCCAGTGTGTCTGCGTCATCATCGAATGAGATGCGCCTTACAATCCGAGGTGTCCTGGAATTCGAGCAGCACAGTACAGACGGTCAGCTTTATGGTATAACAAGTGCCTACCGCCCGTCAAATGAGATATAACCCTCACTTATCACTTAGCCGTTCCTGCACTGCAGCCGTTCCAAACGCTTGGTCATGCTTGCGCTTCTCCAGGACCCGATGAGTCGACACCGCAGCATTGGTCACCCCTTTGTTGTCATTCAAGCGTTCATCGACGCTGTGCGGTGTTGCAGCCGTATCATTCTTGCTATGTGATTGCTTCGATGATCGCACCGTATTTCGTGGACGTTTAGCGCTATTGTAGAATTGTAGGGCTGCCGTGGAACTACCATACATGTGCGTATCAGTTGCTTCGAAAGCCTCGCAATGCTTTCGCTTTGCCACAGCTTGTCGGGCTGCTGCTGAGCCGCCAGCTGCAAACGATTCGCAAAATACCTGGAAGGCAGTGAGTGGTTCGGCTTGCTCCATCTCCTTCGTTTCCGCCTCTTCGACCGTACCCCCTTTTTCACTTTGCCGTCTTAACAGAGATGAAGTGCCAATGTGCCTTGCTTTTTCCTTTCCCACATTATCTTCCATGACATTGCCTTCGCGGAGCTGTCTTGCCATAGTAGGTAAGGCTCCGCACGCTGTCGGCTCGGCCTCATAGGTAGCAGAGCGCTCTGCCAGTTTCTCTGCTGGTGCTAACAAAGCAACTCTACCTGAACGGGACAAAGGAGCTTGCTTCGAATGTCGAGTATTGGCTTGCTGTCTTCGGCGCACTCGAATCAGTGCCTCCAATTGCGTAACGGCCTCACCAGATCCGGTATACCCGACGCGTTCGGCATCTTCTGACACCAACCGCACGGGTCTTTGTCTCGAAAAAGTCGGCGATTCCTTCCATCCCGCTCTCCTTCCATCCATAACTTGCTTCCTATCGTTCGGCTCCTTGCGACCACTCGCCGCTACCACATCACCAGCTTTTCCTTCCTCAATTGCTTCGTGAAACGAGAAGCCGCCTTGTCGAGCTGCGCGAGTCGCTCGAAAGAAATGACTCATGGCCATAGGTGAAGGACTCGACTTGTGCACCAAATCGGCAGCAAATGGTGATGAACGCTCCTTGTTCTTCGTCCATAATCTGCATCGATCTTCGTCTTCCTCTCCTACACTTTCAGTCGTCCACTCAGTTTCGTGGAAAGGTCTTGGTCCCTTCACCTCCAATGAACGCCCTGGAGTACCCAATCCGGACGACGTAACAAAAGACGGAGAAGCCGCTGCTGCTGCTAATCGTCTTTTTGTAGCACTCCTTCTCAAATAGTGCCTCTTTTCCTGCGGAGACAGACGCGGTGTCTCGGCCAGAGCCCGTTGCAGCGCTGCTACTTGTTGCTGCAGTTTCCGTCGACGCTGTCGGAAGACGCGAGGAGGCAGAGGAACTGCCGGTGTAGGCAGCACGAGCTGAGGGATCTCGAAGCGCACGCGGCGGTGGAAGACAAGCGGCACGAAGAGCTCTGCAAGCAGTACGAGGATGCCGTAGTACAGACACGAGCGGAAAAGCCACGAGTCCTCTTCCACTGGGAAGATGAACATGCTGCGGTTGCTAATCCTATTGAGCTGCTCGCGCGACACTCGCACGGATGAAGCGAATATACCGGTATTACCGCGTTTGCTGGTAACAAAAGGCGTCGGCACCGACGGACGAAAACGGTTTTCATGGTGGTAGTAGTCAGGGCTGTCCAATTATTGTCTGGCTTTTGTAGCTGTCCACGTGACACACTAGCCGCTAAGACACAAGCACATCAATCTACCGATACTTGTCCATAAACTTGACGTGGAACTTGGACGTCTTTTCGATCACCTCGTCTATAGCCTCCTCTGGCGGCAAAATCGTTGAACGAAAGTGCCACGTACCCTCCTTCTGGCCGAAACCCGAGCCTGGCACAACCACAATTCCTGTATCATCCAACATCTGTGTGCAGTAGAATGCGTCAGGCGCCATGCCTGCATCCTTGGCGGCCTCAATTGCCTTCGACGGAAGCGTGATGTTTGGGAACGTGTACATCGCACCCTCGGTCTCGTTGCACGTGACTCCCTCTAGCTCGTTGAAAGCCTTCACAAGCTTCATCGCACGGCGCTTGAGCGACCCAAGGATACCATCACGCTGCTCGGTGTACCGCTCGTACGACGCATCGCCGGGCTGTGGCGGATTTGTCATCATTCCCACCATTAGCTGACCCTCTATGTTCGAGCACAAGTTCACCGACATGAGCTTGTAAATCTGGTCTTTGACGCTCTTATCAATATTCACCAGCTCCATGTAGCCACCACGACGACCACACTCACCCGTGAAACCCTTCGATGTCGAGTGAAACGAAATGAGCTCCACGTCGTCATAAGCTTTGCCCATATCACGCAATACTTTCTTAAACGACAAAAACTTCTTGCCCTCAGCATATACGTTCTCCTGATAGACTTCATCAGCTAGAATCAAAATGTTCTCCTTCTTGCAAAACTTGATGATTGCCTCAATATTCTCTAATGCCAGACACTGACCCGTGGGATTGCCAGGATTGATCACAGCCATTGCACGCACGATCCTGCCTGCATCACGAGCTTCCTTCACAGCACGTGTCAGTTCCTTCACGTCAAGACCCCAAGTGTTCGATTCATCCAAGTAATATCCCACCAATGTACCGCCATTGATGGCGATAGCTGCCGAGTACAATGGGTACTGTGGAATAGGGGCCAAGATGGCGTCATTCTCGTTGCGTATCAAAGTCAGCAGCGAGTTCTGGACAGCAGGACTCGCGCCATCGGTGAGGTAGATGTCTTCCGGGTCAGCAGAGTGGCCGTCGCGACGCTGAAGGAAGCGTGTGACCTCCTCCCGCACGACAGCTGAGCCTTTGCTGTGTCCATAAGCACCCGTCCCGCCAGCGATGTTGTCAATGTAAAACTTGGCACGAGCAATAGCGTCCGGTTGGAAGAGCTTCTGTGCCTCGGGCTTGTCGACGAGACCCGGTACATTGACGAGCGCTAGCACCTGACGATAAAATTCAATAGGCTCTTGTTTGAGCACCTGGGGGTTCCCAATATTGCACGGAATGACCTTATCAAAGGGCAGCGATGTGTCACCCCGAGCCAGTTGACTCACGTACTCGTTCGAGCGCAGAACCAGTGCACCACGAACAGCATACTCGGCCTTGACTATATTGGGGTTGATCGTATCGACCGTTAGCACGGCGAAGCTGCGGGTCGTTGGGACGGACGACGACGACCACAGCTGCTTGAGCGCCTGACGAGCGAACATCAGCTGAGAGTGCACGGACGAAAAAGAGGGGGCTTGAGGGGCCACTGGCAGCTTGAAGAATGACGAGAGCGTGGAGGATGTGTGACGTGGAGCGGATCTTCACCACGTCAGTGAAGGGTCAAAGTACCCAATTTGGGCCTTTTTTTTGGGACCTAGGATTGTTGGCTTGTGCATGTACCGGTATGGAGCAGATAAGATCACAGGTGCGAAAATAGACGCCTATTTTGTCGTGATAATTGATGTCATTGTAAAGCGTTGATTGGTGAGCGAGGAGACACGACTGCTGTGAGGGGTTACGTGAGGAATCGAACGGAGCAGTAATCTTATTGGGCAAGTCGCGTGATATACAGGCACATGTGACTCCTACTTACTGATAGTATTTCAATGTAGAATGCGCTTTGCAGTACCGGTATTCACGTAGTTCTCTATTCGTAATCGTCCACGCACTGGTGCCAACGTTACACTGTACTGCTGCTGGCATTGGTACAAGATGCACTGATCATATCCTTCAGTATGCAAAAATCAAGTTGATCCTCGTTCGGAGACAGTGACGTCGTCGCTTGGAGAACGGTAGAACTGCGCGTTGGGTAATTACTTTCACTAATGACCGCACGTTCGACACGCAACGCCTGACACGTTCATCACTTGGCCAACGTCGCTTTATGATTCGACTAATTAATGACCAGGAACGTCGTAGCCAAAGTGTTCAAATGATTCCACTCCCAAGAGTCTTATCCGACTCCTATCAGGTGTGATGCATAGCAATGCGCCTAATCCGAGGACTTGGCGCCCTTGATGTGACCTTCGCGGGCCGAGTTGGGCTGGCGCGTCAGACACAGCACACGCTCCCACGTGCGGCCAAACGGGTCCATGCAACGCGGCGAATTGCGCGTAATGGCCTCGATGGGGAAGTATACGACACGGTTGGCACTAAGACCAACTGTAAAACCAGTGTAACCGGCCATGGCACCATGCACAGCATTCTGGCCCAGGAGCATGCAGTATAGACTGTCAGCGGCGTTGGCGGATACTGAACGGATCATGTACGAGGGATCAATGTACTTGACAGTACATTCCTTGCCCTTCTTGGCAAAATGCTCCTGGATCCGATCCTTCATGAAAGCGCCGATAGGCGGCAGCTTCTTATTGCCACCAGCATCGGCTTCAACCGAAGTGCCCAGTAGCTCTTCACCGGCGCCCTCAGCGACAACGACCACACCGTGGCCTTGCTCCTCCACAACATGCTCGAGGTGGTCCAAGCAGCTGCGCGGACCGTCCAGCTCGATCGGGATCTCCGGAACCAGACACAGGTTGACATCGCCGCTAGAAAGCGACGCGTGAGCAGCAATAAAACCGGCGCTACGTCCCATTAGCTTGACGACACCGATACCGTTGGGCACGCAACGAGCCTCTGTACTGGCTGAACGAATGGCCCGCTGCGCCTCTTCCACGGCCGTGTTGAAGCCGAAGCTGCGGTCGAGAAGGTCCACGTCGTTATCGATGGTCTTGGGTACACCGGCGACCGCGATCGCCAGCTTGCGGCGACGACACTCCTCCGAAATCTTGTTTGCAGCACGATGAGTCCCATCGCCACCAATCACGTACAGCTGTGAAACGCCATGCGTGGTCAGGAAGTTGATGATCTTGTCTTGATCAAAGCCTCCACGGTTGGAACCAAGAATAGTGCCACCGTGGTGATGAATGTTAGCCACAGACTTGGGAGTAAGCATGATAGGAGCCTCCTTCTGGTCTAGTGATTTCCAGTTGTGAAAGCCAGCAAAGCCCATGCGGATACCATAGATCTCACGCACGCCGTACAGGTTCCACAGAGCAAGGGTGATGTCGCGCACTACATTGTTCAGCCCAGGACATAGACCGCCACAGGTCACAATGGCTGCCTTGACCGTGGAAGGATCGAAGAACGTGCAGGCGCGTGGACCTGCTCGCACATAGGCGCGTGACACCGGCACTTGCTTGCTATTACGGCGAATATCGCCTAGAATCACGTCCGAGTCGCCCATAATCTTGTTGTATGTGCTCTTGTGTCCTGCACTGTCGTCATCGAGCGTGTCAAGCTTGCGGCGGTTGCACATTTGCTTGTCTTGCTCTGGTAGCCATTGGCGGAGATGGGGCACGGGCAGGAGGTACGTCTGCGCAATGCTGACGCCGTGGACTACCACCATCTCACCAAACCCCTTGGGGTGCTTACCTGCAAAGGGCGCATTCTTGTGTGCATCCAGAAACGAGGAGGCTGACGAGTCCATGGACTCGCGGCGGGGGGTGGCGTGGCTCCCGGTAGTACTCATTTGGACGAGCTCTTTTGCGTTATGACGTGTTTACGTCGACTATGAAGGGGTCACGAATTCGAATGGATAGTAATCTGATGGGGATATAAAAGAGCAGCGGGGTACTGCCGTTGGCGTTAGAGTGCGATAAATCAGCACAAGTCTTTCGTGGTACCAATCTTTGGAAAACGCCGAAGTTATTTATGCGCGCCCATTAACTTTGCGACAAGACGAACGACTCGGAGGTTTACAGTTGCCTCCATTGTATAGACACGACATGCGAAGAAAGAGCGGGAAAATGCCCAGTGTTCTCTTTCCTCCACTGATCAGCAGTCAAGGCAGGGGCAACTTGACGTCGTTGTTTGCATTGGATAGTTGCGTGAAGGCGCAGAAAATGAAGCCAGCTGGCGTCAACACGGCACCGATCTCACGCACCATCGCCAATACCCCGCGGACTGAGACCTCTTCACTGAAAAAGCGCAATCGTTTTTGAAACTGAGCGACCACGACTCGCGCTGTACTGCTATTACCGCTTCCACTAGCCTCGATTGAACGTGGCAGCGACTGATGAGATATCAACGCAATGTCAAGCGTAGCAAATGACACGACGCGACATAGAGAAGTATAAATGCTTTCTATAGTGTAACTATGTGCAGAAAAATGCCACCTTGAACGTGCACCTGCAGCTTCTGTGTTGGTGGTGGACAGTCAGCTTTGATGCAAGTAAGTTCAGCGTCGTGTAAAACTGAATTTATCGTGTGCTTCATGTGGTGCGTTTTACGATGTTATTGCTAGCTAATACCGCTGCTACTGCTATATACATCCGTGTCATATTATAATGATGAAAGATGACGTGGCTAGTGGTATTCGCATCTTACCATTTTTGATCTTGTACGGATTGGAGAGTGGCTGCTCGATGCCATAAGTCGCGCGGTTCCGTAAGTTCCACAACGAGTATCGATTGCTTGTAAAGAGCAAATGTGATTTAACTATACGTCGTAGTATTCGGCATGTGGGAGGTAATTGATTGCTAGTTTTAGATGGATGAGCTTGCTCTCGTCGGTCATCTTTCACTGGGATGGAAAGGCTTCGCGAGATGGTGTTGTGAAGCAACTACCGATTGCTAAGTTTGAGCGCAACATGCGCTTACTAGTAGCCAGGTACGTGACACTGAACGATAAAGTGCCTGACACAAGGAAGCCATATATCTACATATTGATATATGAATACAAATACCTATATTTATAATTTGGAAGATAAGAACTTTATCACTGTATTATGTTTTGACCTGTGCTGGTATCAGTGTAGACCGTGCGCTAAGACCAAGTGATACACGACTTTTGCTGGACGCTGCTACAGGAAGAGCAAAATACTGTAGAAGTACAGTACTCTTCCTGTGGTATCGATCGGCGGCTGGTACCATGAAGTGCGTCTAAAGGGAAAGCCCAATGCTATGACGCTATAATTCTAACATAAAATGCAAAAATCCAGGCATTCACGTGTGGGGCACTCCGTTCCATTGGCTAGTTTCAGCTCAATGATCTGTTTTTGCCTTTGTTAATATTCACACTCAGTTGCGAAGAGAATACACGCGCCCGTGCAGTAAGAGAAGTACCTTTTGATTGAAGAGTTGTTATGTCCAGTACAATTCTGTTGCTGCTGCTGCAAATTTGATTTTGTGCTGCATCTTTAGTCCAAAGCTGTTGTTGCTGCTGCTGATTTGTTTTTTGTGACGTAGGTGCAGTGCAGTCTGACGCTGTTGTTGCTGCTTCTAATTTGTTTCTGTATCTCATGTAAAGTCTATGGCCGGAAACGAGGAGATTGAAGGACGATTGAAGAGAAGTAATCACTGAACTTAAGAATAAATCTGCTGCGTATCATTAGTGTACAAACGCATGCGAGCTGAAAAAATTGGTGACTGAATTTTAAACGTTAAACATAGACATGCATGCATGTCCGTACGTGCTTGATGAATATAAATCGGAGGTACTATCAAAGTCTGATACAATGTTCAATATGTTTTGTTATTTTGGTGGGAGGGATCGGTGATAGCGTCATTTGCAAGAAATGCATTGTACGACAAAATCCTTTCGCGTAAAGATCATTCTCAGTGAGCAACGTGCATATGCTTTATAACTAAGCTGGTACCGTGTGACGTAGTATTGCGTTGCGAAGAAGTTCACATGCACTTGCCTCTGCAAGTTTTCCGGACTTCATCACTTGTTCCTTAACTTTTTCGCCTTTTTACCAAGATTGTACCCCTCCTCCAGGACTAGCTTTATATAGAAGACGGTCTTTCTCGAGTTAGACACCTACTGCTGAGAAGCCCCACACATCCAAATTCACGGTGCGCGAGTGTACCATTCATACCACACCGTCAAGAGGCTAGCCGCCGCTTTTTTTCTTCGTTTGTTCTTAACGTATGTATTTTCACCCACATCCATAGGACGTTCACGTGAATGAATTGCAGAAAATGTGTCAACATCGCCTTCTTAAGGCTTCTTTGAATCGGATTCGACTGATGAGATTCGATCTTCCCAGCGCTTATTCCCGATAAGTCCGCTAATTACAGCCGCTTGGAACTTGATAATCGCTTGATTTTTTGTGCTGCTTTAAGTTATAGTCATTGCTATAAAAATTCATTTCTTTATTTCACGTGCTACACTTCGTTTAGTTGCATCGACCATATCATTGTATCTGCTAATTGACATCCCGCAGTGATCGCGCATTCCTCCAGGCGCTTGACTGCTGGAGCACATGTATTTAAAAATTTTAATTTTGTGGGTAGTTGTAACGGAGCACCCTGAAGCTTGTACTGGTAACAGTACAAGCTACTTATTCTGATGACAGAATTAGGCGGTGCCTCGTAACTTCACGTACACTCGTTCGTGCAGAGGAAGACGGTAAGAAGAAGCGAGTACTTGGTTAAAGTAAAAAGTAGAACTGTATTTATAATAGTTAATGTCTGCAATAAATCACTATTTATCTTCATCTAATTATGTCTAAATACAAATGTGTAAATCAATCATCTGCTCACCACTCATTGCGTGCGTCTATCGTGGCGCGTCTTCGTTGGTTGATATAATGGCCTATATCAACCAATTAGGAACTACTCGTAAGTGCTACAGAATATTTGTCCTTATGACAATATTCTGAGAATATCACTCTTATAGTTATATTCTATTAACAATTTCTTATAAATTGTTATGTAACGATTCACCCCATTACATCACCCCCCCTTAACCATCAGTCACTTTAGTGACCGATTGACTAAATGGATACTCGTCCCAAATCATTTGGGACAGGGTTTGCACTTGTTGGTCCGAGTCCACTTTCCAACATCTCATCGCATGGCTAACAAGCCCATGCGATGCGCGAGCAAGGCCGCCGAGAGCGCGTCTGCACGTCTCTGTGCGGATGCCGAAGCAGAAACAACAGCAACTGATGTCTCATCGGTTGCTGAAGCGACCCAGCCTGTGTCACTTGGTGATGCAGGCGCTGGTCATGAAGACACTCGTGTCTTCACAGAGTACGAGCTCGGTGTCTCGTACTCTCCTGATACGGATGACGGATCCGTATCGACGGCGATTGAATCTAAGCCGCCTGCCAAGCGTGGCATGGACGATGCTTTGCGTCGCAGCATCTTTGGTTCATCTGATGAATCAGATGAACCATCGCCGAAGCGAAGGCGCTCGAGGTTGCAAGACTCGGGCGCTAACAGTGGTGTCGGTTCTCCTATGGACACCACTTCGCAACGAGGTGCCAGTACTTCTGTCGGCACGTCGCAGGAAGAGCGGGACCGCAATGTCTTGCGTCTCGCTCCCGAGAAGAAGGCATGGATGCCTCCAAAATCCGTCATGGATCACTTGTCGGCGACGACGAGTGATCGTTATCGAACACGATTGTTCGATTCGTCAAGGATCCATCACCTTGACCCCAGCGCGAAAAACTATCGCGCTGAAAACGAATTCTTCATCGATGCTTTCTTTAGACATCGATGGTACAGTGGGAATCACAAACGTGATGGTCCCTCACTACTTCAGGCGTGGAACGCCTACATCCATAACCTCGAGGATGTAGGTCGTGACGCTTGGAACGACAAACTTATCAAAGCTCGTGATAAGTTTGAAAAGCGAACCCCGACAGGTGCACGCTACAAGCTGCATCGTCTGTCAAGGGAGAAAGGATTACCCTGCCTCTCTTGGGGAGACTCGTGCCCATGTTGTGTGAACAACTCTGCACGAGCACCTAAGGAGGCTTACCTCCTTACCAGCCCGTGGTGGCGCGTACGTGTCTCTACTGAGATGTACGAAGGGATTGACAACCTGAAATCACTTTACGACCGTGCCGGGAAGACTTTCTCCGGCGGTCCTTCTGCGGCACAGGATGTGCCGCGTCGTACTGCTCAACCAGACCCAGTACGTCGATCATCAGTTGGGAGCGGGGCTCCCAAGAATCCCAGGACGGGGGATAGCCGCGCCACCGGACGAGATAACTCGTCCGACGTCCGTTCACGTCGCGGTGGTTCAACAGCTGCTCAACTAGATAGCGCTGGCCACCGCGAGAGTCCTCTAATGGAGGTGGAGGAGGAGGAAAGACGCTCTCCACACGATCATGGGGATCCGTGTGTTCCCGAGAGCTTCTTTGATCGCGTAACGCAAGGGTTACGCGACGATCTCGAACATGAGCGGAATAGGCGTCTACAAATGGCGGACACTGCCTCGAAGCATCGAGCTGAGTTTGCCTTTGCTCAGCTTGAGAACGAGAGATCTCTGACATCTCTTCGTGACGAGCTAAGGGTAGCTCGTGGGATTGCTGATCGGTCTCGGGATAAGATAGCTGCTCTTCAGACCCTTGTTGATGCCCACCATCGGGAGCACAAGGCTCTCTGCGAGATGCTTGAGCGCAAGGGCGTTCTTCATCGGAAGAAGCAGCGTACTGGTGGTACGGCTTAAGCCGACCAACGTAAAACGTGGGATGCGTTCGCATCTTACGTGGTAACTCGATCGTGTATGCATTGCCTAGGCGGTGCAATACACGAAATGGGCCGATGTACTTGGGTAGTAGTTTACTGCTACCCAAGTTAGTCACTACATGCTTTGGTAGATTAACCGTAGACAGTAGGACTAAGTCACCTTTATTAAATAAAAGAGTGTTTGCCCTTCCATTCTTGTCAGCGTTTTGCTTTGCTTATCCACCGCTTCGGCGATGGAGTCTTGCACAAAACGGACTACCGTTTCACGAGCCAGTATGAACTCATCTGATGACTCGTTAGCTTCAGTGCGCTGTGAGCGCACTGCGGCAACATCAACCTTTTCTTCAGTGAGGGCTTCCGCAATCTCACTGGCATCATCTTCTTCGATATCGATGTTATCGATATCGGCATCAAACGCAATGACTTCTTCGTCAGAGTGTGATGAGCGTGAACCAAATCGGTTTTTGCTCGCGCGATTCCCTCCCCCCTTAAACCAGAGTTACACTCTAGTAAGGTGG